CTATCGAAAGATCTTTGCTGGAATGTACTCGAGACAGTGCTCGCCGCTTTACACCTTCGCGAAAAGACGTCCTCAGAAAGATTCAAGAGTACTGAAATCGAAATATCAAGGACATGCTGTATACGAGAAGGTTCGCCTTAATGGGCTGAGCAAGGCGCTGTTTTCGAATTCAAAATATACTTTTTCCGAAGGAAGTTATGGCGAGTAGAATTTAAAAACGCGTGATTATTCCAAAATTCACCAACGCTTTTATCCCCTTTGGAAAGAAGTCTGAGCTATTTTTTAGCGCACAATAATCTACAAGAACAGTATTATGGAATAGTACTTAATAAAGTCTTCTATATTGGGTAGGCGTTGCTTCGCACATTCGCGAAAGGACCTCCGCAGAACAAATTGAAAAAACTGGAAACGGAATATCGAAGACATCGTACCCCAACTTCCAATATATCAGAAGATTCTCCGCGCCGAGCTGAATCGAACGATGGCTTTGGATTCAGGATTCGTCCACTCTGAAGGGAGATGTGGCCACGCGACGCTGATGTATGGACATGTCCATACATGTCCACACATTCGCGTCTATTTTTCAAAAAATGTGAGCGGTATTCTACACTAACGCAACTCGTGAAAAGTCTATAGTTCTGTTTCATGCTTGGGTTGTGTGGCTGCGAATCAAAAAGTCAACTCAGTCTAAGAGGTTTTTGAAGGGTGCTCAGTGTTACGCCTTTTTCTAGAGGAATTCTACTCTGCCCCTCTCCCCCCCCCCCGCACGAACAAACTTCTGGCCTGTACTAACTTATGTATGCTCTAGTTTTCAAAAGTAAGAGATTTAGCGTCCAGGTCAGAAGACATACGTATTGCTACCCAATAATCTAAGAAATATGTTTATAAAGAACTGTTAGTTACTTATGGATGATTATGTTCACATAATCGATCAATTGTTGTAACAATGGAATGAGTCCAAATCTGCGGGATTTGCAGGATTCGCGAAATCCGCGGCTTCACGGGATTCGCGGGTTTCACGGGGTCTCGGTGAAAATCTTCCAAACCGGTTCATTGAAGAAAATTTAATGAAACTTGGAGTATAAATGTAAAATGTAAGAATTTGATCAATGCTGAGAAGTAGATGACTACTGAATTAAAGCAATACAATTTCCTTTTTTATATGAGCTTCACGCGTTGCGATCATATGACGAATTGTGAACTAGCACAACTATTCCAAATAGTGCAGCGCTTTCACCACACTGTTTCCCGCATTTGCGTCATGGCTTGCTCTAATGTTTGGAACCCGGCTGATCACTTGATTACATTATAAATTATTTTCATTATGCACATATATGGATACGCGTGACAACTTGTGTACTAATAGAAATACCGTATAGATAGCTAACTATGAGATTTGTAGGTCAATCGAGATATAGCTCATAAATTTTGAAACTACTGTTTCTTATGGTTTAATAATTGTCGGAGTTGCTCTTTATTGAATATAATGCGCGATTGAGGAGTGCATTTTGTAAAGGCGCATTCAAACTGAACCAATAGGCAGTGCGCAGAACCTCAATGGAGTTTGACTTAACAACAATGATTTTCCAGAAGCTTTTTATGAATGAGTGTAAATCCGATACAATGGCTCAGGCAGTATGACAAAAAAATCAAAATATTCTTCCATATTTTTCCAGAACACCGTACCACAAGCATGAGCAATGCAAAGAAAGAAAAACGGGCATTTCAAAACACTTTCAATATATGAAATCGGAACATGAGCTTGAATTTGATAGCTTCTTTGCTGATTTGGTGCCAATAGCAGTGCGAACAATCTCTTGATCGAAAAAGCATCACTTAAAGTCCACATATGATTTTTTTACTGTCGCAAACAGTCGAAAGAATGCGACTCTCCGTACAGTTCAGAGGTCATAACAATTGCAAAAGATGCATTACTCAGTTTTGCGAAAAAAACGCGGACGAGGTGAGCTTGATAATACTCAGCAGATGGCTCTGCAACAAAGTCGAGTAATCTGAATACGGAGTTCATTGTGTTGTGTTATTTATTCGAATGTTTATTCGAATACGAATTCGAATAAACATTCGAATAAAATCTATTAGAAAACCCATTTTTTGATTATTCGAGTTTTCGAATAATATTCGAATCCTCGTTTTCTTAATTATTCGAGTTTCGAATTTTATTCGAAACCCCGTTTTTTCAATTTTACGGCCATGATATTGTGGAGACGTGTAGCCATTACTTCGCGCGATATTTATAGCCAAACTTCTAGATTTCCGTTGTTCTTTTTCACCCGTATGTACCGCAGTAGCAGTCTTGAGCATGTTTCGAATGATGGCTCGTTTGACTGCAGTTGGATGTGCTGAGTTGGCGTGCACTAAGATGTTCTTTGAGGCTTCCTTACGGTACCACTTTATGTGAATGGCACTGTCAGATATATTTATCTGGGTGTTTAGGTAGGGAAGCCATCCATTTTTCGGGATTTCTCTTGTAAACCTAATGTACTGCGACTGCTGGTTCAGTAACTTGAAACATTCGTCCATTTCGGACTGTGTGGATGTTATAATGTAGCACTCATCGATGTAACGGCAGTACATGAGGGGTAAGCGTGCAAGGACTGACTCCTTAATCTTACTCGTAAAGCATACTGCCAGGACTGGGGCTAACCTTTGACCTATCGCCAGTCCTCTTATCTGAGAATAATAGTTCCCAGACCATTATGTCAAAGGTCCTCTTTTCTTGTAACCTGGGCATACTAGTACAACTTCACTTATTTTCTGTGCCGTACAGGTTTTTAACGATGACACACTTTATTGCCTGACGTTTCGGTTACACACCGTCTTAGAGGCCGGGAATGATAACTACGTGACTGACACCTTTTTAGGCCTCTGAAGACGTTGTGTAACCGAAACGTCAGGCAATAAAGTGTGTCATCGTTAAAAACCTGTACGGCACAGAAAATAAGTGAAGTTCCCAGACCACTTAAAAACGTTACACTTTAAACATTCGTTGACGAGGGTCACTATGCATGCTTTACTGAAGCCAAAGGTGACCATATTCGAATAGGGGGTGTCCACGTCAAACGACTCGATGACACTGTTCTAAGTAACATTCAAACTCGCAACTGTTTCACCTATTGAAAAGTGTTGGACAAGTGCGATGGTACCTTGGCGAGTAGCTGACTTACGATCTTGTTGAGAAACCACGAAATTCTATCCGTGGGCCCGCCAACACAGCTGATTATTGGGCGAATTTTAAACGTTTGCGTGACAAGGAATGGATCTCGCTCGCTGTCAACTTATGAGTTTTCATCAGATGGTGCAACACAGGGCAGTTTGGATTTTCTAACTTCAACCTACTTATCAATCTCTCATCTAACCCTGCGGATCTTCCCACTCGAACCCAAAACTCATTCAGTTTCTTGCATTGCATGTGGAAATCTCGTTTGTTTGAGCGCTGATATACCGTCACATCGGAAAGGTGCATCTCTGCAATTTCCCTGTCTAATGTTTGCGGCATAAAACAAAGTCACCACCCTTGTCACTCACTGAGACGCGAATAGATTGCTCTTTTTGGAGCTCGCGTACTTCTCTAGAGCCCTGCCAGTATTCCTGCGTTAAACTGCTCTGGCGCATCTGCTTATACCTATGCAATACTTTCAAGACCTCAGTCGAAAGCAAGCGGAATTTTGTATCAACAGAAAGCATAGGTTCTGGTTCTCTATAAAATGATCGAGGAAACGGCAACGATGATAGTTGTAAGTTGACCGTGGGTTCTAACCGTGAGTTACTTTCTTTTTTAGCTTTGATCCTTAGCATATCACGTAATCTCAACAGACCGCCCATTACTCGGCGACAAACGTAGGCGGTGATATTTTGCGACGGTGAGAAGGAAGGTCCGAAACTGAGAAATTTTGTGGCGCTTACTGATACCTGAACGTTACCAATAACGGTGACCCTTGCACTTTCGACTTCATTTTGAGCTGAACTTTCTAGGGCTCGGTGGTCTTTGGTTAGGCAATCGTGAGCATCGTAATGTTCCTCATGTAGTGAGCCTGAAAGTTCGTCGTGCTCTTTGCGAAACCTTGCTTTGGTCCTAGACCGAATCAAGCCGCAGATACACGATTTACTCTCAAGCCTCCTCCATGCTTTACAACATGACTCTTTGGCATTACATTTCAATAATGTGCTATACAAAATCCTCTGTTTTTCTTTGATTACAATCTTCAACCAATTCCGGTACTAACTTGTTATCTTCGGATTATTTTCAGACCTCCGATGACGACGATTTAGTCGAAACGCGTCAGGTCAATAAACATTACCACCGTAAAAACCTGCTTCTGGCATAATACAACGGAAGACAACACATCAATATGCCCAGGTTTAGAGAAGAGAGATCCCGGAACTTAATCGAAAGTTTATCACATCTTTTTCGCCTTCAGATATAATTCATCCTCTTCAAACTGTTCCGCCATGTGAGTTTATCCAAGAAAGAATATGAAAGCTTAGCTTGCTTATCCGGCTCCGCTCGCCTCTGTCAAGACACTATGATAAAGGCCCCATCCCTATCCCTGTACAACCTTTCCCTGTGCCCACTTCTACATACCAATTCCCCATTCCCGCCGTAATAATAATCAGCGTGCTCACATACCTTTTGTGCCAAGCCCAATGTGTACGAACTTTACAAAAAATCGATAAAATCAATAAAAGTAATAGACAGCTCCAATAACTAAGATTGTATTCGTAATCAGCATGCTCACTTACCCCCCTCTGCCAACTCCCAGCCCCATAGCTCAAAGTTTACAAGAAAATAACGATGAGAATCGACAAACGCAATCGATAATTCTGATAACTGATACTGTATTCGTAAGCGAGGAAAGTCATTAGGAAAGTAGCAAAACTTAATACCAATCTAGTACCTTAGCATTATTTACTGACAACAAGAGTTCGCAGTGCAATGGTACCGTCAACAGAAGAACTATAGAAGATTCAGCAAATTTAGTCTCTGGAAATAAAAACCGGTGCGTATGGACATACAAAAATTATAGAGTGCAGATTGTGATGTGTGACAATCTGGTAGTGAGCTTCATCTTTAGAAATCAGGACTTAAAGTTGAGCTTCTCAATATTTTGACATTCAAGATGTCAGAATTGTAATAACAAGCTTCAGAAAGCAAAAACACAAATTATTCAATCTCCTTAGAGTACGGCTTGAACCAATCAAAAGTGAGGTAGTGTGGCTGATTACTATTGGAGGCCACTATTGCAAGCAGTAATATCTTTTTCACCTGAAGTAATAAATTCAGCAGTATTCGGAACTAACAAATAGTTGAAGTACCTGCGTAGCAACTCGAACTAAAGAAATGATATTTGTCACAGACAAGTCCTCCTCTTCCATGACATAATCAACCAGATATTTGGCATGTAACTCACCAGGAAGACCTAAAAAATAATAATTTGATTCAAAAATGAGCAGTCAATCTAAACCTTCATAGACCAGATAGGCACATCCAAACTGCTCTCCGCTAGTTAGATAATAGCCTTTGCGCCATAGATCGTGGAAAATAATTTCTCGAGCGCGATGATCACGAGTGCAAGGTAATGGCACTTCAAGCTCATCAAACCATTCCTGCGGCTCAGATAAAGGATCTAAAGTAGATGCTGACCTTCTGCACAAACATAACGCTTGACAATTTTGCTATGCTGGATTTTTCCCATTTTTGGATCTTTCGGATGATGTGTTCAAGTGTGCTGAGTAACTTCAGACAAGGAGAGAATACATGCGCCGTTCTTATATTAATTGTAGACTATTTTCAAAAGCCTTCTGGGAAAGTTGTAGGGATTTTTGATGCAAAAATTTGAAAGCGTTGCTACAATACAATCATTCAAGACTGTCAGTGGCTCAATTGAGGCCATAATATTGTCGGGACCTTTCATCGAAAGATACCTTCAGTTCAATAAACTCATGGCAGTTATTGCCCCTTTTAAGCGCCACAAAGGTCTCAACCTCACTTTTTACTCTCAAGCAACTCATGAATTTTCTCAAAAAATTCCCACAACTCTCCTCCCAGAAACGCTTTGCAGATACCGAAAGCAGATTTGTAATCAACATTCCATGCTCTATAAGACAATATAACTTTATCCGAGAACGCCGTTTCGACCAAGCTACCGCAGTTCGCGATATAGACACTTACTTTCACAGATTGAATTACTCTCAAATATTCAACTACTGGATCTGAATACAAAATTCGAACTTTGAAAGTTTGAAACCCCAAATAATATTCGAACTCAGGTCATTCGAAAATCAATTATCATTCGACTTTCGATTACAATTTGTTCACCATTAACATGCATGGTTATTAAGAAAAGAATCTGCTACAAATGTTTGACTAGGCAAATTGATAAATGATCAAACTGATGGCCATCAATTTTTCAACTCTCGAATAATTAATAACACTCATTCTCAATGTTCAAGCGAATGATATTCTGAGAAAAAATTTGAAAATGAGAACTTTGAAAGTTTTATTACTATGCAAAATCTCAAAGGTTTCATTGTTCAAATTCTCTAATAATTTGTTATGTTCGCACAAATAATTTTCAGTTAGCCCAAAATATAGACAGACTGGTGTCTTTGTCCCGCTCAATCTTATATATAAAGCTGAATGTCTGTCTGTCTGTCTGTCTGTATGTGGGCGGAGCCGGGTTTGCCATCTAGTATGTACTAAAGCAAATTTTCGACATTCTCAAAAGTATTGGATCAACCTTAGAACTCAGCTCATAAGAGGCCCAAAAATGGGGAAGAATCTTGGAGTCGTAAATGTGAGGCGCTGCTAAAGATGTCTATAGTTCAAAAAAATCACCATCGGTATCCAAAAGTCCTTGAGTAACCACGGTCGAGCAGTTCGGGACTTCTGCACCGGTTGGGGGTATTTCAGCCTATAAACATGAATACATTTGGTAATTACAACGCTAAGAACTTCCTCTGGAGTTCAGCATTGAATTTGGATTCTGGTACCTACCGAATCGCCTTCCAGAGGGCATGATGAGTTTCTCTTTAGTCGCCGAACACGAGCAGCACCTAACAATGAATTGTTTTCATGTGATTTTCTCCAAGAAAACAGAAGTCACCGTATAAAACAAGAATCGACACTTGTTCCGGGGAAAGAAAATGTGGTGGTTGTCCTCTGGAACTTGCAGGCAGTTCAGCGATCATACGCCATTCATTTCGAAGACGTGCGACGTCTAAAACTGATGTTTTCAGGTCTTTTCAGCTTTTCATACAAAATGAAAAATTTTGACTTCGCAGTTTTTTCGCACCATCCTTCAGCTAAAAACCCCTGCCATAGTGCTCCAAATCTTTGCTTTCATCAGTAGATATTGAGCTTTCCCGAAGATCAACTCCATTTGATAAATTGAGCTGTTTTTTTTCCTAGCAGACTACCGGGTACCATTCGAAAGCGGAGAAGCTCTACAAAAAATCACCAAATATCCACCCAAGTCGTAATCTAGACAAGATTGCCGAAAAATCAAATTTTTCAGCTACTCCAAAAATGGATCTCCTGCCAGAAAATTCCTACGGACTTCCAACTTGAACTTTATATGAAAGACCCTAGTAGTACATAAAAATGTATTTAACAGATTCTTTTGGTGACATAAAATTGAGAAACAAAGATGGTCCGAAAATAAATGCCAATTTTTTCGGATCATGTAAAACTTGGCATTACATAGTTATAGGAGCACATACAGGGGTAAAGTTTTGAGATTATACATAGTAAGGCTTGTATGTAGTAAACAATATATGCAGAAGGGGTTGGGGGCGGAGTTTGCCATTTTTGGACGATCTTCATTCTCTCGCTTTCTAAAGGCGCAAAAATTCGGACGGCATATTTGCCTACTACTACGTGCCTATTGTAGAATGACCAAACTGGAGGTCTGTAAGATTTTTTCTCATAGAAATCTGATTTTGAGGTGACAAAATTTATCTCGATTTAGCTTCAAACTTTATATTGAATGCGACTTAGGCGGAGCCTTGATGGTCAATAGTAGAGCTTGATCTGCTCTAACGAATGACATCATAAGTAAGAAGATAAGAACAGCTTGGAATTTAAAAAAAGAGTTTACTTTTGGGACAACCTAATAATATCGACCACTCGGATTCCCTTGGAACACAAGTATTCAATTGTACCTTACCAAAATATCAGCGCTATGTAAATGAACGGGTTCATCAAACTAACAAGCTTACAGCCTTCAATTCTCATTGTTTTTGTTTGTTTTTTTTTTACCCAGCTAAAACTGAATCACACAGCAGCCAAAATTACGGGGACGTCAGCAATCGGAAGAGTGGGCAACACAAAAATAACAAAAATCATACCTTCCATGTCGAAGACAAAGAAGCTGCCATTCACATGGTCAACTGTGATAGGTGGAGCCAAAAAGATGATATTCACCGGTTCTGTTTGGTTTGGAGATTGAATTGTGGCAAAAGCGTCTAGACACTATCTGCAGCAATATTCTATAAACAGTCAGCTCCAAACAACCACAAACGGAAGATAGAACATGTCCAAGAACTCCTAACGCGTACACTCTCTCACATCAAAGAAGTGGTTCGAGTACAGAATCGGGTTAAAAGCTCAAAAAGTCCACATATTGAGATACTGCGGATCAGCACCATCAAGTAGTAAGAATCAGGGCTCGGCAGGAGGTGGCTTTCCGAAAATGCAAAGAACGAAGTCCCTCTTGACTTCCGCAAGATCTTAAGAAGTCCCTTTTTGACCTCAATAAACGTAAAAAACCCTTAAAAACGAAACGTCGACCAAAAAAAGTTACAATTTTTGTGTCTTTCCGGCCGCAAAAACGATATCCCCTTTGCTTTAGGTCCCAAAAATAACCAGCTTGCTTACAAGCCTCTGCCGAGCCCTGGAAAGGTAGGTCACAAAACAAAAAAAAGATCAGATTATGCCAGACCTTGCAGTTTCCAATACTGAACCTCAAGAAATAAGAATCTGTTACTTTTTCTTCATGTTGCGAAGGCAAAAAGGAGAGAAAAAAGCAAGGTGTTTACACTAAAGATAGCGATTTCCTTTCTTTGAAAATTCCGAGCAAAAATCCACTGATTGTAGCAATATAATCCAGGGTCACATAACAACGCTTACGCGTAGGAGAAAGATTTCTAGGGCTAGTTTATTTTCTTGTTTCAGATCTTCAGGATTGTTGTTTGTGAAATTCTAATTTTAGAGAGAAAGTGACTTCTTCCATAAATAGAAACTCGCATATATTCTACATTCAACAGTACCTTATAAACTATCAGCGCAAATCATGTGTGGTTTTTTGTTTTTCCTGCTTCACTTAACACAATGCATATCCGATTACGGAATGATTGGTAAAAGCAATGGGGTTACACAAATTACCAAGTATGGATGCTGTTCAGAAGCCATATGGAAAATGTACAACCTCTCCATGAGCACATCAGTTCTCTCAAATTCACTTTCCCTATGGGGAGCCGGGGAAATAAGAGAGTATAATGGCCTGACCTAGCATGCACCGTTGAGAAATCATGGCACTATACAAGCGTTTCAAAAAATACTAATAAAATTTATGTAAGAATATCTTACAACGATGACAGATTTTTCATGTATAAGGAGGCAGAGGGGAGAATTTGATAAGTATAAAGATGTACGGAAACTTTCCCGAAGGGAAGATGGTGTGGTGTTAACTATTTCCGATCCATTAAATTTTCACAAGTATGCAGGATTTTAGGGCTGACTGTAGAATAATGGGATGCTCTTGAAAAACTCTTTCAAATGATCTGGAAGTAGTACGTTGCACAAACAGTCTTGAAGAGGGTTGAGAAAAGACGGATCAGCAGAGTAATTCCATTATATAAAATTTACAAAAATGGATTTCTCCAACCATTATGTTGGAGCAAAAGTAATGCACGTTTTTCTAGACTTCTTTTCAGGACAACTTTTCTTGTCAAACTTTCTTCTTTAGAAAAACTTAGCACACTTTTGAAAAGCTCTTTCCATGCTTTACTGGTGATTACGGGCTTTTACCTCAAAAGTTTATAGTAATTCACATTCATACAACTGCATTCAAAACCAGAATTTCCGTTTTCTGGCCATAAATGTAAGCGCAATGAAGATCTTTTGACAATTTAGCTACTGCAGAAAAAGTGTCTACATTATGCACACTTTATTATTTTCTCAGAAACTAGGTAGAGTAAAAATTTCCCTCAACATGGGTAGTCGTTTTGGTCATTCTATGGACATAAATTCTTTGAAAAAGCAATGGCCGAAACTTTGCTCATTTCTGTATGCGTAAGGGTGAGCTTCCCGTTGACATTTTTTGCAAAACGTTAAGGTGTCTAATAGGCAGAGAGTCAAAAAAAAAACTCCATATTTCGGGACTTTGGAGCTTACGAAAAAATGTTGAAGCGGATAATTTTGCATTTTAACTTTTTCCCTCTCGCAAATCTTTTTGTTTGAACACTTTTCATCTTTTTTTTTGTGCTAATGGCTTGTCGCTACAAGATAGGCTACTTATCATTTATACTAACAAATTTTGAAAGTTTTGATCAGTTAAAAACAAGGCTTCAGAAAAAAAAAACTTTTTTTGCTTATCGAAGCATATTCGTTTGCCCATTTGTGATAAGAGGTAGGTGAATGTGCGCTGTATTGCAAAAGGTTTGCTGTTTCTGATGGTCCTAATCACATTGAAAAGTGTAGATTGTTTGGGAGGTTAACACGTCAAAGTGAGAACTCGCAAAACGCGCATTACTTTTACACCAACCTAGCGAATTACTGAAATGAGCTCCCCAAAAGCACCAGAGTGTATAAGAAATGCCTTTTTCTGCAAAGAAGCAGGAACAGCAAGTTTCTGAATACGAAAATGTAACCTTGAAAGATTGTGAATTAAAGGCAGCGTCCGGGGAGATCGAAAATGTAGGGTACAGGGGCGCCCGTCCTAGTAAGGCTCTTGCCCAACTGGCAATGCACCAATCTGCTTCTGGAGCGAGAAATCCGCTTCAGAAGTGGGGACCGGAACGCAAAGGCGACAGGGAAGAGTGAGTTCGAAATAAGCCAGAGTGCGCATACCGCACGCGTCAAGACGTAGGGTCCCACAAAGACTCGCGTCTTAACCTTGGTAGCAGGCGACAGAATTCAAATCAAGGGCTTCTAATGAAGGTTTTCGGCGTTTTCGTGCCATACAAGCTGCACTTTCAGAATCAGCGGGAGAAATAAGTCCAAGTAGGCGAAAAAAGTTCCATTCGAAATTTTGCGGACGCTGCCTTTATGTGCGAATTCCAGAGTATGCTAATCTCACTCGCTTTCGATGAGATATGTCGAGGACTACAATCATGCAAGTGTGGTTCAAGAATACAAATGCAGATACTGGAAAGAAAAACACTGAGCCCGGATTAGTTCACTGTCCAATAATCAAGAGCAATCTTTTATTAACTCGACATTACATTCAGATAGCAAGCAGAAGTGATGACCATGATCAAATCTGATAACACAAAAACAAAAAAATCAGGTAAAACTTTGACAATACTTTCGTGATTCAACGGATGAAAAACTGCTGACGAACTCGTAGCTATTGCAGTGATGATAAGACAAGTTCTATACAGATATGGCATACAAAGTGATTGCTGCCCATGACTAATGTGATCCAAGGCAGTGAGAGAAATCATAAAGCACCTGTGATATTAAGGTCTTCACACACGCACAGCAGTTGCATCGCTCAAGTGAAAAAGGCGATTAGACTGTAGATTTGCAAGAAGAAGACTGTCGCATCCCATTAAATGGCACGTCTACGCTGTGACCGAGTTGAACGGAGCGAGGCCCACTTTACAATTTTGCGATATTTCTTGCGTACTTCATCACGTTTCATAGCCGTATTGTCCGTTCTGAAAAAGAAATAAATTTTTGAAAAATTGGAGTTTAGACTTTACAACGAGTAGAAAGATTGCTTTCTCCTGCGACTGTTGGTCGACATAGAGGGCTTGAAGATATTGTTCACCCAGATTGGATGATGAGATTCTGATGTTGTTTGATAGCGGGTCCCTAAGTAATCTTCCAAATCAGGCCGCAAAAAACGTATTTTGAAGCGGAACAATCACTCCCGAAGGTATAGGGGACCAAGGTGGCTCCGCCCATCAACGTGGGTGGTCCGGAGATAACTCTGAAGATAACAAGTCCAAAATAGGGCTTGAGTATATACAATCGCCGTGAATCCACCCCTCGTTATGATTATCAGAATTTAGACTTTTATATTCACCCTGACGCCCGTTTTAAAACCCATTATCTTCAATCTCCACGCTGATGGGCGAGCTTGGCCAATTCTACCCCCTGAAGCAATTTTTTCCCTTCGTAATTCATCTTTTGCAGCGGGATTTGGCCTGCTGCTCAGTTAAGAGCCCGCTATTATAGAGTATCAGAATCTCACCACCTTTAATCTGGGTGAACCAAGAGGAAGTTAGAAAAGAGTGATATTCAAAAAAATATACCGTCTCATCTCTCGAAACAAAGAAAATCAAAGGTTTCTTTACACTACTTGGGCCATTTTGATGAACAAGGCTACGAACTGGCAGATTGAAATGTGATAAAATTCAGCATTCGCACGGTGACGCATACACACAAAGGTTGATGAGAAAAAATTTCTGACTCACTTCTCCAAACCAAGTTCTGTCCAGTAGCGATCTGTATTCGGGAACATTGTCGTTGGATCAAAATAGTCATCCGTTGCATAAAACTCCGCACTGACTAGCGATGTCATTTTGCGTAAAAGTTGCTGCATTTTCTCGATCAGATTCTTCACTTGTGATCCTCGAATATCATACCAAAACAATTCCTCCACCTATACAACATTTTCTTAGAAGATAGTAATCCCTCGTCATATTGTAACCTTTGAAAGATCAAGCCGTAATAGCATATCCATCAAGTCTTCCGTGAGTACAAGACTTTTGATCACAAGGAATGTGCAAATTTGTCCGGGGCTAAAAATTGCTTCAATAAATGATAAAAACAAAACGAGGCATAAGTATGCTATACAAGTGACGTAGAAAATACACTCACAATATTGCTGCTGGAACATCTTGCATGTATACAAACTTTGCAAAGTATCGTCTTCCACAATCGCCATAGATATAAACAACAACAGCTCCACCGTAAGTGCGATCACGATTTACAGCTGCCTGAGATGAGATGTTGAATAAATATCATTCCATTTCAGAATAAACACACATACCTGCAGCCGTAACCCGATGGGAGGTTTAGGGAAACTAGCGTGATAATCGCACATGATATTGTTGAATCTCTTGCAAACAATTCGCAGCCGATACAGATCCTAAAAATTAGTCGAAGAGTCTTCACTAACGCTCATAAAGTTTAAGTCACTCACTCTCGTTGCAAGCTTTTTGCTACCACCAAAAACATATGCCCTCATACGAATATCGTTCGGGTTGGGCAACGAAGCATGATAGACGTACATGAAAATCTTCAGAAGAACATCATCAGGAAGATCGACAATAGTGATATGCTGCAAGATATTTGATGAACACGTAGTCGTCGAATGGTCAAGTCTTGGCATAGTGAGAAACTTTACAATTTGTATTATTTGATAATTAGTCAATATCTTTGTTTGTTTGTCCCAAAAGGAATGGCATGAAATGAAATGATTTTTTGAAGACTTCTTTCTTTCTACAAATCTTGGTCAGACTGCGACTCGCTATAAAAGACGAAAACATTCTCTTTCTTTGGAAAACTGCGCCGAGTTGTGAGAAATGTAAAAAATCAGATAGGATATACACGCAGCTCAAGAAAATTATAGCTGCAAAAGTCGAAATGAATCAGGACACTTCTGTCTGCAGAAGAAGTTTTCTAAAATGGCTACTCAAACAAGTAAAAACTTCGTTTAAACGCAGAGAGACTGGTCATCTCATGAATGCATCAGGATCTAGGTAGGCAGATTTATGATCTACCTGTTGCCCTTTTCCGGGTGTATGTCAAGAGGCGCGGTTTTTATTGCCAGCTGGACATCATATTGCACATTTCAAATGTTTATAATGTTTTAGAGGCCTTTCAAATTTTTGAGAAATTATAGAAGATCGTTGCATGAGCTGTCTGATCTTATCATCTTAGAAAAGATCCAAAACAGAAACATTGGAGGTCAAAAACCCATGAAAGTGCAAATAATGGCAATTTCGTGAATATTTCGCTCATTTTTGCAGTAAAAGCCGTGAAACCCAGTAAGTGGTAACTTCGAACAGCTAGCAAGCTAAATGACTCTCTCTGGAATTTTTTGAAAATTTGTTTAGTGCAGAAATGGGCTTTTAAGTTGGTGACAGCCAGAGAAATCGCGCCTCTTGACCGTCTCCCCCCTTTTCCCAACTAAGTACGGCGTCAACGTAATGCCCTAAATTAGATGTCCTATTTTGGAAAACGTTCCCACAAAATTATTCCAAATCCGCAATTGTGCACACCTTTAACATTACTTCGATGACTAAAATGATGGATGTGACTTGAGTGAAAAGGAGTACAAAAACACGGAAGGCAAGGATGGACCCTGAGTGATAATCATCATAACTGCCAAGATCAAGATACTATGAAACCTCTTCCTCCCCCCCCCCCCCTCCCTTCCCTGGCATGAACAACTTTAATGAATCAGAAACTTTAGCATTTTGCACATGTTCATAAGGTAAACCGACGTTGCTTTCCTCGCCTTCCACTTCGTTGGATTTCGCGTTAGCATTCTTCTTCGGTTTCTTCTTAGTCTCTCCAAAGAGCTTTGCGATCGCTTGTGCTTGTTCAAATGTGGCTCGCGGATTGTAAACGCGCATACGCCGAAACCTTTGAGCCCAGTGGCCTGGAAATTTATGCACTAACAATGACAGCGAGAAGTACTAGAACATGAATGTTTTGCCAACGAAAAACTTTTCAAATGGGAGCGAATAACACTGCCGCTGAGCACCGCATTTGCGCACTGGTCCTTAAAGGATATCCGTCGACGACCGCCCCGTTTCGTGCATTTACACCACCGCAGGCGTGCCTTTTTGAAGCCTTTCCAGCTTGACAGAACGCTGCAGCGCGCGGGGACTCGGTAGCTCGCAGCATCCCTGTCCTTTAACCTCTTTTATTAATTTAAATATTTCACACCGTTTTTCTTATTATTTTTCATTCTAGGCAATCAGCCGTTCTAATGTCTATGTAAGGTCATCGCCGCGAACAAAGTAGAGTAAAGAATGACCTTTTTTGTAATTGCAATGGTGGATATCATGGCTATAATTGGGATTGCATATTTTCTTCAATATTTTGTAACGATTTGACATGTTTCCTGGGACAGACCACTGAGATGATAACTTCAGCACTCCTACATTAGGGAGACAATGTAGGAGTGCTGAGATAAACATTAGAGTGGCCTCATCTAAGGAAATTCCATGATTGCCACCACTGCTTATGAACAAAGCACACACTTTCATCTAATTTTGCCCTAATTTTGATGGTTTACGATCTTGTAAAAGGAAAGAATGTAAAAGAATGTTTGGCGTGTAAAAAGGAAGAGGGATTCAAGAAATGTGCCTAAACAACTTTTTTCCTTGCCTTTTAGTATTCATCAAAGAAGAACGTAGGATATTTGAACATCGAGGGAATCTAAGAGAAAGGTAAAACGAATGACTGACTGAAATCCGAAATTAAGAAGAAGAAAACGATGTGAAATACCCAAATCAACGAAAGAGGCTAAAGGACACTGTTGCTGCGAGCTACAAAGTCCCGGCATGCTGCAGTGTACTGTCAAACTGGAAAGGCTCCAAATAGGCGCGCCCACGGTGGTGTAAATGCACGAATCGGGGCAGTCGTCGATGAATATCCTTTACATCGTATGTTCGAAAGGACCGGCGACCACCTTAAACGGCGCTTACCGGCAGCATTAGCGCCTCACCTTCCCTACTGAGAGTAACTTAAAGAAAAAATTCCAAAATTACAAACTGAACGTTCGTTAACCTACCAGATATTGGCGTCTTTGTGTATCTCTTCTTACCCATAACGCTTATGATAGATGTTCATAAAATAGAGGTAGGCTAATGGCAGTCAATTACTGAACCTGGAATCGATTAACTGATGCATTGCGTTCTAATAGGTGAACTCACAATGACAGTATAGATCAGAAACTAAATTATAGCAGAAAAAAACACTATGGACACAACTTTCGCAAATGAAAAATAAGAATTTTTTTGCTGTAAATTCAAAAATGAAGCGGTGGGCCCACAGATGCAACATCCAAAGGCAAGACTGATCAAGATGAAGATAGCGTCATCAACGCAAAAGTGCAAAACCGTGGCCTGTACGAAGGAAATGCTTCTTGAGAAAATTTGTATCCACAATATGGGGCAAGGCTCATCTAAATTCTCTACAAACTCCATTCCTGATAAACTCTCAAAAGGGACCGCGAAAACTTGAAAGCAGCCTATTCATGAGAATGCGTAATTTGGAATTATGTGTCGGGAAAAAACTGAAAAAGCACCCCCAGGAATTTTTCCGAAATTCGTGGCTAGCACCTATAAAAAATTTACCCCTCCCCCCTTCGTGTATATGACCACCGCTCCTATTGTACCAAATGTATTCTACTCATACTCAAAAAGGCTACTAAATGCGTGCGATTTCACAACAATTTGCAACATATAGATTCTGTGCTTGAAGCGTTTCAGATTACTCTATACCAGCTGCTAATTGTAAGTAGCGAGTTCCTTTTTTCTCATGTGAATCATCTAAAAGTAAAGGGCTTCACATCAATACTATGTTAGCACTCAGATGAAATGACGAATTTACGAGAAACAAAAAGAAGGAGAAAGGACAAATAAATTAAAAGAGTTACGATTGTTTACAATTCTTCTAGCCAGATATAGCGAGAATTCAAAATGCTGATGACATAAAATGAAATTCAAAACGATAAACTAAGATAACGTTAACATTTTTTAGCTTCACAACTAGTAAGTGCGCTATATCGCAGAAAGAGTTGGAAATTTCGAAAATGGCAACATTGATCAATGTATGCACTTACAGCTTTCGCGATGCTGCACAGACACACAAAGCACAATCAAAGGCTTCCATCTGCAGCGCGCAGCGCCTTTGTGAAAACAAGCCAAGGCATAAACAAACTAGTGGAACGATATCGACGAGCGAATGATGAAGTATGAGAGACAAGCGAACCTCGAAAAGCATCTCAACAATCTGCATGAATACTTTATCTATAAAACATTATGAGATAAATTTAAGAAACATATTATTCTCTTAGATTCTGTGCTTTCAGCTTCGATAATTCGTCCAAATCACTATACAGCTTTTCTTTGCGGATTTCAAGAAGTAAATCTTGTCTGCAACAGTAAGAAGGTTAGCAGATGATGAAAGCATTAATGCGAAGTATTATACATCAATTTTTTTACATCGGACCAGAAGACAAAATACCAAAACTGTCTTCTCTATCGAATCCTTTCTCAATTTCAATCAAAGCTGAAATTCGAATACAGATAAGCGTTTTGCAGACGCCAAAAAAAATAGGAAAACGTTGACCGGTCGGCGTGCTCAAAATCCCTAGTCAACGCATAAAACCTTTCTCTGATCAGAAATGTGCTTATGAACGATATGATTATGTGATGGACTAATGGTTGAGTATCTCAAATTCTGAGATTGAGAAATTCAAAGGGACATACCTCTCGTCGTACGAGCCAATTCCAATTTCCTCGAGATCACCGTCTGTTATGTCGACTAGAACACGACCTGAAAACTCCATGGCTCAAAAGAATAAACCGTTACTAAGATCACTGTGACATGGCAAACAATAGATATGCTTAAAAATATCTAAATCGATAGTAGCTGTAAAGGTTATCGATTTAGATATTTTGTCTGGAAAAACAGAGTTAAATTAGACCAAACGTGAACTTCGAAATTTCTAAGACCATGTGCGTGTCTCAGATTGGCGGTGCCAGATGGCGGGATGGATTGAAGACAGTTCCATTTCTAACCGTGGCTGCCTAGGCCTGGGTATACTTCGGTTCAAGAACAAATCAGCCTCAAACTTGGCCTATACAGATAACAGGATGTATCCCATTACTTGTGACTGTCAATTACGCGGGCGTCGCGAGCGACAGGCTGGCAGTAATCAGCTGCGACGAGAGCTTGGGTAGCCGACTTGCAAGGGCATAGTATTTCATACTCACTAACAAACGAGAGGGTTTTACACTATCGTATCAAATTTTACTTTTGATGGATGTTTGGATCCGAATCTTGCAAAAATAAAGATAGTGGATGAAAAGATGGAAATTACTATGTATATGGCCACAAACGTATTTTTGTTCGATATAACAACGAGACCCCCAAACATGTCCTCTGGAACATTTCCTCTGGCCCTGTTGCCTCTCGCTCAGATTACTTTACGCCGCGTCGCGGCAATTTCTGATTGACACCAACAAGTAATGGGCGCCCCTTTCCAGATAACATATTACAAATAATGATTGAAAGTAGCTCATATTACACGAATGTGATTTAAGAATATTATTGCTCTCTTTTCTTCGGTGAGGTTTGCGCTGAAATCGACAAACTACGAAAGCAGCGATAAATGGTGAAAAATAACTAAATCTCTGCAAAAATTGCTACTTGCATTACGGGTCCAAAAGCCAACCTTTTCGAAGCTTAAGCGACTTAGTCGATGAGAAGCTGCAGTACAAAAACAACAAGATAAGTAAATCCGATTATCTAATGAAAGAAATCTGCAACTGTCGCCTTTAATCAACTAAAATGGGATGATGGGCAAAAAAGCAAAACGAATAGAAGCGAATTATGTGAAAGATGAAAATGTCAGACTAAGACTAGGTCTACTGTACAGTACCAGCAACTTCTTACAGAAAGAATAATGCAAACAAAGGGCACAATGAGTCAGGATCGAAAGTTCGACCGCCTCAGGTCGACCAAGCATTCTACCCTCCGACAGCAAAGTGTTACCAGAGAGCAATTTGGACCGATCGAAGCATGACTTGGTAACCGGATTTTCCCGCGAGCTAATAGAGGTGCGCACACGTCAGCCTCGCCAGATACGAGATGCTTTAGCGTAAGATGAATATTTGGCGTCTTTTGAGACTCCGATGTTTCAACGACCAAGTCGAGGATTTGATCCTCGTCCCCGAACCAATCTGGCCCTCTAAGGTATGTAAGAGCAAATCACGCGCTTATGAGTGTGGTAGCCATTACTACAGAAACCCATTCCACTACGCAGCAGAAATGTTCGATGCATGCCCCTTAAAGTAAGGTCGCCGAATCTTTTCTTTCTCCGGGCTTGGTAACCGAAGTATAGTTAAAAAAATAGTAAGCACTTATGGCGCTGAATTTAGCCTTGTATGTAGCGCCCAATGCACACTCAATAGAATATAGAACGAAGAAGTGACAAGTGGCACACCTGTAACATTATGCCGTAGAAAAAAGAGCGAGTATTTGAGCGCTAGCTTCGGTCTCCTCCTTCGCAGCCAATCGTCAACGTCTGATGCAGTCCAGAAACATATTGGGCGATGTGAGATGGTCGTATTAAATACTTCCTGTGTAGGTGTCATATCATCTGGAAACTGAATCACGAAGTCATATAAAGCGTCGGTGCTAGAACTTATGACAAGCGATAAGTAAAGCATGCACAAAAGCCATTAAAAACTTTTGAGAGCCATAAAACTCGCGGAAATGAAATAGGTTAACGATTTTCTGCAAATGGCTTTTGGAATTTCATCCTACTACACATCGCTCCCCAGCGGGCGGTACCCTCGTCGTTTGCAATGTCGTCGTCGGCTTTCCCGCCGAGCGTCGAGTCACTCGCGCTTGTTGGCTTGAAACCTGTGCTAATCTGTCTTGTCGTTCTGCCTTTTACTCGCTAAACTCGGTCAATCGCTTATCTCCACACTGTCTTTCACTTTTGACTTTAATGTGTCCATTCCTTTAGTTATGGCCTCTAAAGATGCAGAAAATGGTATAGATGGTGGTGATAACAAATTCATTGACGTGAAGACATGGAAAGATGAGACTGGGAAAACAGTCGCTCAGCACTTGAGGGAGGGCTTTGCTGGGGATGAAGAAGCAGGTGGGATGAATTTTTCGATTTTTTATCTTTTATGTTTGGGGTCCTTTTCTTATTCTACATGGAAGGAACAAACCCTCTTTAAGCAGTGTTCATCAGTGTGACATTTCTTCTGAATCCACACACCCCTACATGTTCTTTTTTATTTCATGGTTCCAAAATATGGGAGATCTTATAGTTGCTGTGCAAATAAGCAGTAACCGCTAAGAAAGTAGGGATAAGCATCTACATTTGGAGATCAAATCATCGGGTGAATGCTTTGGAGCGGAGAATATGTAGTAATCACTGTTCTCGATATTTTTTTCATACACATGCGCATGTGCACAATTTGGCTTGAACAAATAGTGTAAATAGGTGCAAAGACTGTTTTTTGATTTATGGTCAAACACTAGTGCAGAGATTTTGCACTTGAAGGTTGTCAACTCAGACCGTTGCTCTGTCTTTGTTCAGCTGCTTTTTCTCTGAGGCTCCGCAGACTTCGCTCGAAAGGTCCAAAAGCGCGAAAGCGCCATTTTTCTCAAACCTCTCTTTACTTTCTCGCCTGAGGAGAGAGGAGGTAAAGTGAAGAGGAGTTAGAGATATTTGGGCGCTTTTGAGCGAAGTCTGGCTGGGCCTGAGAATTGCATTGCGTGTGAACAGCGCTGCCATTAGTTCATTGTTTTCGCAGCACTACAGCCCGTCCTTTTAAAGTCTCATCCTAGTAGAATTTAAATCATTTCGATTCAATCGTTATTGCGATAAATTGTTCTAAACGCACTTAAGTTTCATAAAACCTCCGCACTTTTCGAGATGACAGCAAGAGGAAGAGAGTATGGTCTGTTGCTCTTTGGTTCTCCATTTAACAGTGATCAAATCGCTTTATATCTAAAGAAGGGCTGGGAGTCCTTGAGGAGTTTTTTTTCAATAATAATATTTTTGTCGCTCTTTATATAGCAGAGTTGTAAATAGCATGATAGTGCTGGCTATCAAACGGGTAATAAGGTTTCGTAATCCTTATATTGTAATGGCAACTGCTGTTTACTTCGTAGCCTTACCTCATGGTTGACTCATCGTTCTAAAAATGAACGCCTCAAATCTTATAGACAAGTACAGGATACAAGTGGGAACAATATCGATTTTAATTATACCTATATGTCCTTTTTATCTGGCTAGTTGCCTTAAGATGGTTTCCTACTCACTTATGGGTTGAGTAAGGTTTGGGTTGGTTCCGCTTTCTTGACTATAGTTACTCGGTTCTCCTCAGGGCGTGAAAAGAAGGGGAATCTTCGTTTTTGTCAAATGTTTATCTCAGTCTTTATCTTTATCCTGTTGGCTTAAGGGTAAGCAGAATAATTCGCTTTACTAAAAAGAACATTTCAGTTGCCGATGGCGCGATCTTGCGGTATCGAGCTCCTTTCTTACGTGTCATCAAACATGATGCCTACTTTGATGCTTTTAACATTGTTGTTGAGAGCATGCTGAACAGGTAAGCTAAACTTTCTTTGAAAGTTCATTTATTTTATAAGCTAAACTTTCTCAAAGTTTTTTCTGATTTTTTATGCGTTTGATTTGTTTTTCCACTTCTGATGTCTCGAGGTTTCCTCAGTTATCGTTATTATAACTCAATGTTTTAAAAGCTGCATGGTTTGTGCATTTAGATTAGCTCCAATGTGGCTAGCATACACATTTGCTGATGCGTTTGTTAATGATCATGCCGATGAGTTAACAGCTCACAGGCAAGATTATGTCGAAGGTAAATGACATTCAATCTCTAATTTATTCATCTTATTCATCGTACATCTACAGGAGAATATCAACAATTGGATGGCGGAACATGGTGCCGGCAAATTATTACCAGCATGCATGCCTTTTCCAAAATGGTATTGAACGGTGAGAAGCAGTTGAAAGGTAAGTCAGTTATCTTGTCTTGTGGTTGTGGCTTTTTGATCATAAGAATTCCTCTCAGCCCGCCCTAAGGCATGGGATCAGTTTCCTATCTCTTGTGAATCCGAGAAAGGGCGCAGGCCAAAACAAGAAGACCGGATGCTAGCTATGCCAACATTGAGTTTAGTTTTTCCGGATGTGGCGAGGGTTAGTTCATATTATCCCAAAAATTTGCAGCTAATTTTTGTATTGAGAACCAAATTTTAGTCCGATGTCGGTTTGATGGCTGTATTTGACGGTCATGGAGGTGCAGAATGCTCAGCTTATTCGTGTGCGCATTTCCCGTCCGAATTTGTGCGAGCCTTAAATGTCCATCCCACTTCATTGGAAGAGTCACTGAAGGAAGCCTTTGAACGATTAGGTATGTCTTGGACATTTTCAAAATCTCTGTATATCACACCAAATCAACCTCACATTTCTTCTTACTTATCATGGCGTTTGTGACGCATCCGGCTCAAAACACCCGCTACGAAATCTTTTGCTATTTAATTTTCTTCATTTTGGAATGTTTATATGTAGGACTTGATCAGCTTTTCGAAGAAAAATTGATTTTCTTAAATTTTTTCAACTTCCGATGAATCATTTACCGACTCCAATTTTCGAATAACCCTTTTTGCACCAACAATGGAGGACGTTCGGTTAGAGCAGCGTTCGCTTTTGAACTTAGCTCTCTGTCATAAACAATCTGGGAAGCGCTATTTGCCAGTTGACTCATGGTCACATGCGGAGAACTTTTGTGTGTTTGAGAACTTACTGTATCGCACGCATCCATGACATCAGCGTATGTACGAAAAATCATGATCAACAGATGCTAAAAATGACTTGATGATTATTAGTTTATGATTTGTTGTGCTATGCGATTCATGTCACAAAATAGCCTTATGGAGAGCGTCTCTAATGTATATTGTAGATAGTGATATACGTTCATGATCATTCAATCTTTGTTTTTGCATCTGCTACAAATTATGTTACGTGCAAGCTTCGAACATGAGAGCTTTTGAATGTAATAAAGCATAATTAATTATTCTACAAGTACGACCAAATTGCATAATCTTGTCCCAGAAGTTTTCTATGAGTACAGCCAATTTGCATAATCTTGTCCCAGAAGTTTTCTTTACTTTCTGCTAATCATTTGAAAATGCCGTTTTGCATAGCGTAACCTTTACAACAATTAGGTAATGTGCATTACGCAAATTGACCGACCTTATCGTCTACTTAAGCGTCGTTTTTATATGAGTTTCTTTTGAAAGGCTTACACTAGTGAATCATCTCTCTTGTAGTACACAACGGTCATGAGAATCTCTCTTATAACGAAATGCAAAACAGTGCAATTCAGCCACATCAATTTCCTTTTTACTGGGGACTTTGCTGTAACAGAAGTGATTTCATACTTGAAGATTTCATGAATCACTGAGAATTTGCCATGTACTCAGATCAGCTGCGCCTTTCATGTTTCTGGGATTGATTCGCGATTGTAATTTTCATGGGAAGCTAAATTTTTTTGGGGGGGGGGGGGCAGGGGGAGAGGGGACACTAGATTCACTTAAAATGAATTATTCAGCTTCTATTCAAAATCACCAGAGTAGTTTTTGGGGCAGGAATCTTTGGAATTTTGCAAGGAAACCTCGCGACCATACACTCACCGAGAATGCTAGATCTCCCCTGCAAAATTTCGAAGGTTCTCACCCCACGAAGTACTTTAGTCATCTTAGATAAATATTTGAAGGTCTAGGGAATCCGGGAAGGACTTACATCTACTCTTGATGCTCAATGGCACCGAGGCCGCCCGCTCCCGAAAATGGGCTGCGAAATTTTTGAAATCTACTTACTTGGGTTGTAAAAATATGCAAGTGACTTGTTTATACTTGTAAATAATAATATTTTTAAAATTTTTCAAAAATTCAGTTTAGCCTCATAAAAAAATGTTTTCGTGGGCTGGTGGCAGCCACGCCCCCTTTTTGAAATTTCGCCGATTGTGGGCCCACAAAAGTTCAGGAAGCATACCAAGAAATTTTTCGGAGTGCATGGCTAGCACCACCACCTTCATCAGAAGAAAATTTTTTGTCCTTCCCCCCGAACGGAAATCATGGGTACGCCACTGCTGATGCCCTATGTATGAATGACAGCGCTCTCTGTTCTTTGCGGCTTCTCCCTCGGCTTTGCGAACGTATTCTATGTGCAATCTTCCAAGACTGCCAGCTTTTAATTGCTGCTCAGGCATGGGAAACGCCCACAGTAGACCTGACGAATGCGGCGCGAGGCCATAGCGGGAGGCCGTATGAGCCTGCGATGCTGTCATTGAGACACAGGTTGTTCACCAAAAATACGAACAAGTGTTTGCACAATGCCTGCGCAGAGCATTCTGTGGGCAAAAAAGGCGGCGTGGTAAAAAAGACAGTCGTCAACCAAAAATACTATAGAAGAAGATCTTGATTTGTCCGTATAGGTTGGTGTCTTTATCGGTATAGGTTGCCTTATTCAGACACTCGCTTGTCTGCCCGCTGTGAAAATGAACGGTGGCGTAGCGGTACGACAGCCGTCGCCGCAGTAATTGACCCGAAAGAGATCGTCATTGCCTGGATAGGAGACTCAGCAGCTTATGTGCTGTCAGAACCGGGGGAGCTCTCAAAGGTCACCAATGCACATGTTCCATCTAATGAGGTACGTCTTGTCAATAGTGAATTGTTTCCTTTGCATTTTTATGTAAAAGTGTAGGCGATTCATCGCACGCACAGAATGGACGCCTTCGCGTCTTTAGTAGTTCATGCATTGGAGACAGCAGACAGAGGGATGAAGGAGCGTTTGAGCAGCGGACGCCGACAACGTCCGTAGTGACGTCCTTTCTTTGCGTGCGTTAAATCGCCGATAGGTTCATTTGTGCATGGTAGGAAAATTTATTCATTGCATATAGGAGGAAGCAAAGCGAGTTGAGGCCGATGGTGGACAACTGTTATATATCCAAGGCGAACTTCGTGTCAACGGTGTATTGAACCTAACTAGAGCTTTGGGTTTGTGTTTGAGATGTTTACTCGCTCTGAAGATAGCTATAAAAAATATGTCTCATCTTTAGGCGACATTGGTGGTCGACCCATGATCAGTCCTAAAGCTGATACGACCGTTATTGAGCGAGATGCATCACAATATTTGGTTTTATTGGCATGCGATGGAATATCGGAACTGTTTAACGATTCGGAAGTGTTGGAAATGATTAAGTCATTTGTTGCAAAGCATAGTTATGAACGTAAGCAAGTTAATTTTTTTGGTTTTTTTTTTCTGGATGAGGGATGAGATGTAATAACATGACTCAATAAAAGAAGGGGGATAAAATTTTAGGATGGTAAGCAATCCCCCTTTGGTCAGAGGGGCAGTCATGATGTTCATTAGCTCACTGCAAAGGATTTTTTTGGCTATATCGTTGGCACTGTCACAATGAGGGGTTTGTTACTGTCTTGGACAGGCACACACCATACTTGATCCACTTTGTGCACCTGTCTGTTGGTCAGATTACGATGTGACCAATAGCGAAGCTTGATCCGCTATCCGATTCATCCAATTCGCTATTGGTCACCTTAGTGAGTTGACCGGTAGTGATGTGGATGAAGTGGATCAAACATACTTCCTGAGTTTTACTAGGGGACAAATATAAACGCTATTTCCCTATTTTTGTTTGTGAATTAGACTGAGACAAATTTTCGTGATAGTTTCAATCAGTCCAAATTTATGACAAGTCCTGAATGCGAATCATATCTCGCAGCTTGATTTGTTTGCTATGCATTTCTTATACTTACAGTATACATTATATACAGTATTCTTATATAGTATAATATACACACCATAAAAAAAACTCAAGACTACCGGCATAATTTTTTAATCTCTAAGCTCCTAAGCTTCTAGTTGTTCCGAAATAAATTCTGTTGGTGCAACTTCACTTTCATGTTGAATCGATCCGTTCTTACAAAATTCTTTTCAGAATATTATGATCTGTCAGATCATGTTTGTCGCGCAGCTCTAGCCGGTGGTAGTGTTGACAATGTGACATGTGTAGCTGCTTTCCTCCGACCACCGAAAGATCTCTGGAAACTTCTCGGTGATGACAGCGACGATTAAAAGCACAGCAGGGAGTTGAAACTACTTCATCAATCATGTGGAGCTCATGGTTTTAAAGGAAACAGGTTTTTTAAATTGTAATTGTTTTCCTCGCTAGATTCTTAATATCGTCTGCTGACATCATTGAATTTTTCGCCTTTTTTGGTCAGTTACGGAGAAAGTATAGTTGATTGCACGGAATCGCCCGGAATGAACGCTCGCGTGTGTATCTCTTGCGGGCTAACATTGGCATTCGCGCGCATGAGTCATCATGGTGCCCGTACTCGGCAGCCGCGTTGTGGGTACGCTCGCGTGCTTTCAGCCTACAGTGACCCGGGCGATTTCGTGCAGTCGACTTTAGTATGAGTGCATAGTTATCTACTTACAAGGGAATGTTTTACAGCGTTCAGTTTTTGATCAAGTTGCATTTTCACTGTACTTACAACGATTCGAACACGTTGGTTCTAGAGCCTTTAAGGCGCTTTGTTCTTAGGTGTTCGGATCTTATTCTGTTGATATTTATTTGGTATTTTGTGGCAAACCAGTCGTTGAATATACTTCAAGTTCAAATTAAGCACGTATTAATGGCAGCACTGCTTCCTTTCATTTCTCTCTTCACAGCTCTCAAGTGTGCTTATTGTGCTATAGCTTTTCATTCTTATTTTTGACATTGTATATATTTTTTCTAAGTTGTTTTCTGACTCGTTGAGAATATATGGAAAGGTTTAGAATAAATTATAAAGAGTCATTTTGACTGATTTGTAACATTCTTCTTACGTCTATCAAATATGGACAAAGTGCTGTCCTATGAGGTGTATTCTATATTTGAACAAAGTGTATAGGAGGAACCGGTTGTGTTAGGTAGTCTTTCCTAGTTCAGTTGGGCAACTTCTGACTCATACAGACCTAAAATGAGATGTTGGGTTGGGGAGTTTCTGGAAATTGCAAGTGTTTTCAACTGGCATAGTTGTCGGTTCCGTTAACGAATTTCGGGATATTTGTTTGAGGGCAGCCTCCCACAAATGTTCGGTTTCTACGTTTTCATCAATCTCGGCCCTTTCTATGATTCTAATCCAGAAATGTGGTTCAAATTGGTAGAATTCCTCCCCCTCTTCCGCCCCCTTTTTGGACCACTTTTTCATTGTCAATGCCACGTTGCGCAGTAAGCGTTCTGTTTGTGCTTGCCTTGTCAGAACGCGTCCTGGAGCTATCCGTGAATTGGCAGCGCGCTAAAGGGGACGGAGTCAGGGCCCACCACGAGGTGGCATATGAGAAATTCAAAGATGAGGTTCCCCTTGACACTGCAGAAAATTACGAGATACGTTTTGTAGTGTTTGTGGAAGCTCTTCTAATAATCTGCAACGAAAAAAAGTGGACTGAAGTGAAGAAAAGACAAGAGTAAATTGAAGATTTAGAAGCGAAGTGCGAAAAACGGATGGTTTTATATCCTCGACAGCCGTAACAAAGCATATGGGATGAAACTTGAGTCAAGATGAGTACTCATAGGTAGATCTTGATCCAAAGAATATTAGGCAAAAAAATTGGAAATTTACGTGAGGAAGGGGGAAAATTTTGGAGATTTATGACTTTGTTTGGTCCCGCGCAACCTTAGGGTGCTCGCAGGGTACGGGGATCATTTTTCGAAGAACACTTACAACTCCTCTCGTTCAGATAATCTTCAAAATTTTCATGATGTTCTTTTGGTCGTCGCCGGGAGTGTACAAACCAAGTCTGGTGGCTTAATAGTGCTTACTCGTTGTACAAACCTATTGTTTATATTTTTGTGCTTAAAGATTGTGTTTCGAAAAGTTGAAGTCGTGCACATTATGCTAGTCGTGTTTTTTGATGAGTTAATTTACCTGTAACTGGTAAATTACGTTACTTCAAATTCGGACTTGCTAAGAGCAAGAGTTGTGTTTCCTGATATTTCGTCAGTCTCCGAGTGGAAACTGTAGAGGGCTGGAATTTGGCAGAGGGGTGTAATCGAGCATGCTGATCATTCCCACGGGGGTGATCAGCATGCTCGATTACCCCCTGTGCCAACTCCCAGCCCCGTAGCTCAAATTTTGAAAAAATCGATAAAATCGATATCGATCGATGACGAAAAGTAGCCTATGACACCCGCCGGGGCCCGATGTGTATGTGTGCTAAGTTTGGTCCCGATCGGTTCAGAAATGGAATTTTCTATTCGGAACATACGTACAGACAGACAGACATACAGACATACAGACAGACAGACAGACAAACAGACATTCAGCTTTATATATAAGATTTGAGTTTTCGATTTTTTTTTGAATCAGAAAAATTCAAAAAATCAAATCGCCTGCCTTGAAAATTTTCGGGGTTATGGTCCGCAAAGTTTTTGAGATGCATTTCAAAAAATTTTTCGGGGTGCGCGGCTGGTGCCACAAAAATGCGCACTTTTATACTGGATGAATTATGTCGCCTCCTCTCAATCTGCCAATAATCAATAAAATCGACAAAAGCAATCCACGTAAAACAAGGTATTTGTAATTATGTATTGTAATCACAAGTGAAGTAATTGATCATCCTAATCAAGTAGTAACCCTTAGTAATCTTCTAATTTCTGCTGCAATCGGACATCGTGGGACCCTAAAAGTCTCTTGCCGCCCTTTTCCACGGGACATCCCACCGCTTTTCAATTGGGACTGGCTATCGACTGTCAACAACATGTAGTTGCGAAGGAAATGCAATGAAAAACGTTACTAAATACATCATATATACCAAAAGCGGATCATCTGATTCTGCCCTTGAAGTTACTGCATGGGGAACACTATAGGATCTACAGTCTATGTCAACCATGACTTGAGCACCAGCATAGGTGAGCGATCGTCGGGAGGCACTATCGGCGATCTCATTCACTTATGATTATCCGACCAACGTCCGTGTTATTTCCAACAATGCACATCATGTTTCAGCCAAAAGTTGCTTTGAATGTTCATAAAAAACGTCTAAATGAGGTGCGCGCTCATTATCGCCTGCGAACAGCCTACACCGTTCCGCGCTTGGGTGTTCAAAGCGCAGCTCGGGTAAAGGATTACAAGACCTATACTCCCTTTTGATGAGCTTATAACGCTAAAGCCACGTGCCGTTCGCTGGGGCCATTTAAGCGTCCAAGTTCGCGCACTACGCAGATAATTGTGTAGGAAAAGCGCAAAACTCATGGCAGCGCCAGTCGGCCAAGTTCGGCCGCCCGCCCCATCTTAGCCGCCCAAAGAGGGTATAAAAAGAAATAAGCCCCGCCCTCCGGAGCTCGCTCGTAGTTCAGCACGCCAGCTCCGGCTGGCCTGGATGCGGTGCAAGAGGATAGCCGTAGGAGACAATTGGAGCGCGTGCACTGTGGGGAAGATTTTGGCAAGGATCCAGGAAAACTTGGCGAGGACATCCATTAGAAACAAACCATCATAACTCTTCTTGGAATTAACTTCCAGAAATACGAAGGACAGATTTGGAATCAGTATTGAAATGCGCATTTTTCAGTAATACGCCTACCGGATAGATAGGCAACTCTGTCTCGCTACACGAGTTCTATTTTTACCAAAAACTGAGCCTTCATTCACCATTAAAAGCTAAGAAATTCTAAGTCCAATTTGTGTGAAAGACTTAAGTGATTTTCTTTGATGAAATTTCTGGATTTGAAGTTAAAAGTAGGGAGTGGCAAAAATAATGTTAATTGATTTGCATGCGATGAACTTTTGCTACTGTGTACAGGTTCGAAGCGATTACCGACATTCTCAATAGCAAATCCTATGAAATCTCTAGTGTCAGAATTTAGAACTAGAGTAGGTTTGAAGTTAGAGACAAACTGCATATTACATCTTGACACAAGCCCAGATGTAACTTTATGACATTTTGACTGCTTTGGTTCATTGACTCAAAAGGTAAACTATTCCTTTATCCAAAAAATGAATTTTGAATGAAAATCCCTGTCTTCAACAATTTGAAACTTCAAAACAAAACAAGAAGCTCCTATAAGATGGTTTTTCTTACAAATACAATCCCCAATTTTAACAAACTTTTGTGCTCAGTGAATGCGCCTTCCAGTCTGCATCACAAATCTGTTTTGCAAATTTTTCTAAGTCATCCCCAGGCAAAGTTATGAAGATTTGTTCCTAGAGGATGTCCTTGCCAAGTTTTCTTGGATTCTTGCCAAAATATTCTCCATAGCGCTCGCGCCCGTAATTATCTCCCGCGGATACAGACGGCAGCCCTTTGGTTCCTCCTGCACCACCCCCGGCTGGCCTCACAACCATCATGCTGTGGTGAGCCTCCAACCCCCCCCCCCTATTCATTTACTTCTCCTTTCTTTTAACTGTTCTTTTCATCCTTATATTATTACTCTGTAAGGCATATCTCCGTGTCTCCTTTGCATTCTCGATATATTCCAATATGTCTCTTTTGTATTTCTTGCCCTTTGCACCATGTCTTGTTTATGTAATGATAGAACTTAGTAATTACTTGTGTGTTGTAGAGAGAAGGATTCACTTGAAGAGAGGTCATATACAGGGTGTCCCAAAATAATGTGCACACTGTTTGATTTTAGATAACTCTCTTATTATGAGATCTTTCGAGAAGCTTTAGGTGCCATTTTGTAGAGCTGGCTTCAACTTAGATTTGCAATATGGAGCGAATCACCGACCGCTCTTCATTACTGTAGGATTACGATAGAAACTTGGAACATATGGTGTCAATGTGGAAAAAGCTGCCGTTTCAAAATTTTTCAAAAAAATGTGAAAATTTGTATAATAGGGTTTTTAGGGTGCTGAGTTCAATACTCAACTATTCTCAAGATTGCGAAGCTTTCTAAATGGTGTAACCGCACTTTTTAGGAACATTGAGAAAATGGCCGCTACTGCTTACCTCGCATAACTCTTCAGTGAAGCATCATAATAAGTTGGGAACTTTACTGTTAGAATCAGCAACTCTAATTGGCCTAGTGTAAAGGTTTTCAGGCTGTTTTGATTTCTTTCTGAGGCAAAATATGGCCTTTCAAAGCCCAAAACTCTCTTTCAAGTTTCTACCGTAATCCTACAGTAATGAAGAGCGGTCGGTGATTCGCTCTATACTGCAAATCTAAGTTGAAGCCGTCTCTACAAAATAGCGCTTACCGCTTCTCGAAAGACCTCATAATAAGAGAGTTATTCAAAATCAAACAGTGTGCACATTATTTTGGGACACCCTGTATATAAGCGTTACTGCACAAAGTCGTTCTAACAAACATAAATTATTTTATTACAATTGCGCAGTGCCCCCATGCTGCGTATGCGTAGTTGCTCTGGAAAAGGAGCGCGTGGTTGACACAGCTTGTAACTAGATCTATCCGACATTTTGATGTGATAACAACGCTACGTAGCCCGATGCTATTTTCCGCATAGCAACTCCAGCAAATCATGTCTGTGCTAGAAAAGCAGACATTTGTAGACGACATGGAGAAATAGACTATCATTGAATAACTGACCAACGAGACACAAGATCAAAGTAGTAAGTAAACTGCATTTTAGCTGCCAAAACATTATCTAAAAGGGGTCAAACGATTGCTTTCCAGAGGTCCCTACATTATGATCCACTCAAATGGCGGCAAACAATGCTGCCCCCTCGGGGCGTTCAAAAATTGCGTATGGCACCCGTGTTTCAGGGGCCATCGCGGGCAATTGGGAAAAGTTTTCAACCAGCAATAAACGCACCTCGGCAAAACCTCATTGGTCACGTTATCGCCTCTGCGCAA